ACAGCCCATTTTTTGGGTTTTTTTTTTCTAATAACTGTCCATTGGAGGCTATGAAAGGGGTGGGGAGGGGGTGTAGGCGCCATTCACTACTACATGCAAGGGAATCAGTTTCCGAACCTCTCCTCCTGCCCAATCAAGCATCCCTCTTCCGCATTCAACTGACAACTTACAGCTTAGGACTGAAACACTGACTGGTATATCGCCTGAACCGCACAAGCAGCTGTGGAGGCTACATCGCACCCGGAATGGAGCTAAGTTCTTTTTTCGGAGGTAGAGCACGGTGTCCCAAGCAGATTTGATCACTGCCAGAAGCTGTGGGTTTCCATGGATATATACCACTAGCCCATGCAATATGTAAACTAAGATACTTCCAGAATAACAACAGAGAAGGAATGGAGTGTTACTGGTAGTTTTTAACGAAAACAAAGGTCAAAAGAAAACAAATAATACGTCCAGAGTGGTAACAATGACCATCTCCAAGTGAGACACACACAATAGAGCATAAAATTTCCTACTAAGTGAAATTATTATGTGGTAGAAAGAAGGGAATTGAAAAAAAAACACATTGAAGCTAAGAAACAGTCATTAGTGAGGACCGACGTTACTGTGAAAAGGAAAACATACTTTTGTTGCATGGTCCGAATAGCGCACCATAGAACTCGTTCTCCACCTCCACCAGCATTGCAATAAGGGTGGAAAAATGCAACAACGTTAGACTTCCTGTAAGTAAGTGGTTACAGGAACGTGGGCTATTCAGGTGAAAAATTCACTCCCCCAGAACGCCAGATCGATACCTGCACTTTTCATTGGCACGTACTCGTCCAACATCCATTCACCTATTGCCCCTTCGGTATGAAAGCAGCTCCACTGCTAGGCTGCATTCATACTTTGCGCAGGCGTTTCAAGCGTTTTGAGTCGTTAGAATCCACGTTAAGAGCGTTTTGGACAAAAGGGAAAGTAGCGTCTCGAGCGAAAAGTAGTCTAGGTACCGATCAGCGCTCAAAACTCCGATTCCCACAAAACGCTGATTCTGGAACGCCAGACAAATATTTTCCCTGTCGCTCAAAACCGAGTTGTAAAGAATGAACACAAATTCAATTTGTCCGATACCCGTTTAACACAACTCTGGTTCAACAGGATACGTTCTCTTACCTGCGGGTTCGTATAATAAGAAGAAACATAAACAGAAAAAATAGTGCCCAGATCATCGCCGCATTCAATACTGTTAGAAATCTGAATGGAAGATAATCGTAATGATCACGAAAGTCATGACTACACTTGAATCAAACAATATTCCTTCGGCATTAGGCCGCGTTCATAGCTTGCGACCATGAAGAAAGTGAAGAAGTGCCGAAAGTGAAGAAGTGCCGAAAGTGCGGAAAGTGCGGAATCTGCAGAAATGCCGAATGTGAAGAAAAGCAATAGATACGTATCGATTTGAAGAAAGTACGGAAAGTGCGGAAAGTGCGGAAAGTGCGGAAGGTGCGGAAAGTCAAATCGATACATATCTATTGCTTTTCTTCACATTCGGCATTTCTGCAGATTCCGCACTTTCCGCACTTTCGGCACTTCTTCACTTTCTTCATGGTCGCAAGCTATGAAACGCCGGCCTTAGACAGATTCTTGAGCTTACCCTATACTGAAGGGAAAATATTATATGTCAGACAGAGAAGCTAAAAAGAAAAAAAGGTAGGGAAAAGAGAAAGTGAATATGGTGAACTACTGCGAACCCTACGAAGAGTACATTTCTGACATGACGGTACATTGCATAATAAGAGACACATTTCTCAAAAAGCATTTTTCTTTTTCATGCTCATGGTAGAAGATGAAACACTCTTTCTGAAAAGAAATACTTAAGCGGAAGGAAATAATACAAGGAACAGGTCCATTTGCGACTGGGTTGCTGCTGTTGGTGTCCTGACCACAAGCCACAGAGGTCGCGCAAAAATATGCGGTTATGGTCCCAATCAACCATGGCGGAGGCAACACCCCGCCCGCTGCACCATGCCACAACCTTCACTTTTGAAGCTTCCTGGTGCCACGGTTGTTCCGCTGCCACACTTTCTTCGCCTTATGCCCTTACAAGCTCAATTCGGCATGAACTATCTAGGGCACTTCGCGAAGTTTTCGGCTTTCCTTTTTACTACTGTGTTGATTACCACCTTGATTTTAGTACTTGAGCCTCACTATCTTCAATTTTGATCGCAGAAGGTGACTATGAGATGGATACCTCGTAGTAGTTCTTTGTTGAATTAGACGGCGTGAAGAACTAGTAATAATGTGGATTAGTTCGGTTCGGTTCCAACTAGTTACAACCCAACTTCAGGCTTTACAGAAAACAAATCCGTCGAAATGTCTGCCAATGAAGATTACTGCCAATATCGAGAGCAGTTTCAAACAAAAACTATCCACATATTGGGTGCCGAGGTTTATCGAGAATCGACAATTAAATTTTCCAGAACACATTTTCGCCACACAAGGGAATTGCCACAGCGCGAAGAAACGAATGGATATATCTTAATATCGGAGAACTCGAACCTGACAATTGAAAGTAAAATAAGCAGCTTTCAGAGATGTGAACCCTTGGGAGCGTCCCTGTTTCTAGCCGATGCTTTCGCAGATTTTAGTAAGTCTAGGAGCGATAGCCTAGTTAAAGAAGTAACAAAACAATTGTGTTAAAGCAAACACCCTAAAAAAGATAATTTGTCTCTTGTTCAGACGATTCATTGTTCTTTCGTGGCTCAAAATCGAGTTGACGATGAGTAAATAACAATGCAATATAGTTTGGCGAAACGAGGAAGAAAAAAGGCATATTGAACTCTTAGACAAAAGGTATCCACCAAAAAACAACATCACAGTGAACACAAATAACCAACAATGCTTCTTTTTTCTAGAATAAATTTTCTAAAGACTATAGGGATAAAACGATAAAGAGAATGCCAAGCGTCCGTGAGGGGGGGATGGTGAATTGTGAAACTACTGGACGTGCTTGGAATGCGAAATATGGGCTAAGCAAGAGTCTCCAACAGCTGAAAACAAGGAGCAGACCGAACAGCGCCACAACGAACACGCCGCAAGCGATATTGATCGCGCTGACGGCTGCTTTTCTGTGAGCTGGACAAGCCTGCTTTTCTTGTGAACGCTCCTCCCATAACAGACAATCCAACAAGGACAGCCACTGCATACACCTCCACCTCTATCATAGGCATTGAGCAGAAAATTCTTATTTGGGGAGTATAAAAAATGGCGTGGAAGCAGGCGGTCAGTAAGGTCACAAAACAAGAAGTCACTAATGGGCACTAGCAATAAGAGACAGAGGCCACCACCCAAGAAAGAAGCGGGAATGCCCATGTCCCGAATACATTGCGGAAGAGAAGAAGAAGAGACACGTGTCGTGAATGCTCGGCAGACACGGGCACCTGGACTGGGCAGAAATAATCCAGTTTTCCTCGTTCCCTGAGTTGTCGTCTGAACAGGTGAAGCCTCACTTTGGCAGATACCATCTGGCCCAACGAGATTTCTGGATAGACGGCTCAAACATGTTAAAAAAGTTCGGATGTCCCGCAGTGCATTACTCTTGAGAACCTAGGGTGAAACGTCCGATGAGAAAATGAGATGAGGCTGGGCACATGTCCTTCTTTTATATTGACAAAGAATTCTGAATACGCGCCCCAACCCCAATCCACACCGTAGATTAGAAAGATTTTTTCGTTTTTAATAATGATAAAAATAATAATGCAGATTTGTCTAAATTATCAACTCTCTGTGTTAGCGACCTAGATGTTGCATACATTTTCGAATTGGGGATTTCGACTGTTATCGTGGCAAGCAAATGATTGCCGTAAACGCTTGGTGGTGGCGCCGTCCGCAACACCAATAAGCTCTTTCGATCAGACGCACAGCGTTTACGGTGCTGGGCAGTGTGCCAGCGTACGGCGGCGTTTTTGAATCTGGTTGGGTTTTTGTAGCTCGATGCGGTATTTTGTTTATGTTTTCGCTGAATTTACCTTTTCGAGATTTGGTTTCTAGGTTGTTCAATTAGTTACAAGCTGGCTGACGTATTCGCTATAGTTACTTTCTGTCTGCATAATCGGCTTTTAACGAGAACCAATACTGTGCATTTCATATCTTCTAATAATGTGTCGTTTAATCTGCCGAGTTTGTGTTTATTGTTTATTTATTTAGACCTTAAACGCATATTGGATCGGGTCTAAACAACCGCCTCCTTTGTTGGAACATTTCACATTTTGTGACTTCATTACCATTCTTCTTCTTGGGTTCCTGTTATTGCATAATTTGGCGTGAATGTCTACTAGTCAACTTCCAATAATCTATTCATGAGCTCCTTCCCTATTTAGTCCTATTTCGTCAACGCTACCACTGAAAGAATCCCATTTTTGACGAAATAACACGACTCGTCTGGGGTCAGGGGCGAAACAAACCGTTGCTGTTTTGTAGTCTTTCTACTCATGTCTTTTTCTTTTTCTAGTTACTCTATTCCTTGTCTTAGGAGCGTGATGAACATACAAAAGTGTCTTTCCACGAAATATCACACGATTCAGACCATGTTTTACGCGCAGTTCGTACTATCAAAGAAAGGACCACTGGCAAAGATTTGGTTGGCAGCACATTGGGAGAAGAAGCTGTCAAAAGCTCAGATTTACGAGACTAATGTACAAGATGCTGTTGATGAAATATTGCAACCGAAGGTAGTATTTGAAACGCTCTGAGTGTTTCTACGTTTTTTTTAACAGTTCCTTCTTTGCAGGTTAAAATGGCTTTGCGAACTACCGGACATCTTCTGCTTGGTATTGTGCGAATATACTCCAGGAAGGCAAAGTATTTGCTCGCTGATTGCAATGAAGCCTTTCTCAAAATTAAAATGGCGTTCCGTCCTGGACAAGTCGAGATGATGGAGGATGGCAAGGAAGCTCCTTTTGCTGCTATCTCACTACCTGAAGTAAGTTGTTGAGGTCATTATTGTTCTGATAAGTAGTGCAAAATTTCGTTAAGGTCTACACAGATTTCGATTCCACTTTACCGGAATTCAATGAAGCCGAGTTCGCCAACCATTTGCAGGTGGTGTAGTTCATTTGTGTCAGTTATTCACAGATTGAATGTATAAATTAATTTAAGATCAATCAAAGCAGGATAGATGATATTACTCTGAAAGAGGACCACATTTCCGATCAACACATGTTTGGCGCCGAATTTGCCGTAAGTTGTGAATAAATTTTTTAAGCCTGATCACAGGCTCAGTATTAAGAAAATAGTGTTAGTTTTTTGTGTATCATGGGGTGCGCGCTAAGATCGTTAGGATCATAACAAGTAAAGAGTTGTTCAGCACATATATACAAAGTTTCATTATAACTCACTAGCAGCAGAAGATTTTCAGCTAATGTCACATTCTAGTACCGTTCAAAAAAACTTGAAGTATGCCGAGCAATCGCCTTTTACAAGAGTCTCGCTGAAGTTAGGCTCAAAATAAGTTGAAGCCAATAAATCAGAACGTTAACAGCGATTTTTTTTGCCGTATTCAAAGGGAAGCCTCCATACTCAACGTAAAGAAAATACAGTAAAACTTCTATGAAGCACGGTTTCTGCTTGTTCAAATGTCG